ATGACATCATCATCTGGGCTTTCCCAGATAGTCTGAAGGATCTTAGTGGATGGAAACTTCTCTCTCTCGTTATTCTGGTGTTTAGCAGATAGAAATAATGTTGGTGATCCTGACTGACTGAAACAGGAAACCTTTAGTCTGATTGGATGTCAGACGGTGAGAAGAAAAGGTTTAATGTCTTGTTTCTTCAGTTTTCTGCTTTCAGCTCCACGTTGAACACGACTGTGGATCATTTGACTCAGTTCACAGATGAGCTGAACAACTTTGTGGAAACTCCAGCTGTGACTGATTGTTTTATTCATTCATAAGGCAGTCGAGCAGAAGGCTGGTTTTAGGTTTAACGTCCGCGAGATGCAGATTTGTGCGTTTTCGCTCAAACCTGTTGCCACGAAGACGGATTTTCTTCCACCTACAGCAAACATCTCGGATTGGTTACCTGCTAAACATCCAGCGTTAGAGCAAGAGGAGAAGAAGAAGGAGCAGAAGGAGGTTAATGTAGTGCTCAGGTCGGAGCACTTGCAGTTGACAGTCATTACTTCAATTCATCAAAGCGGGTTTCTCTCCTCGCTCTCAGCCCGTCAGCACATTCACAGACGAGTGGCGCTAACGAGTCTCTGAGGCATCGAAGCATCTTCGTGCTCTGAGGAGGAGAGTGAGCGCAGGAGAGGAGACGAGGAGAGGAAACAAGGAGAGGAAAGAGGAGGGTGTGAGGAAACAAGGACATGAAAGGGCAGCTGCATCCTTCAGCTGATCATCACCTGCAGCTGTTTCATCGTCTGACAGATGAGCAGAACAGTGATAACATATATTTTTACTTTCAGTTCACGGCGTGGCAGCAGGATGTGATATACAGATTTATTTTTATTCATCAGACGGTGAAGCGTTGTGGCTTCACTAACACAGACCGACACAGATTAACGTATACATCCTTTACACACATCTGTCTGCTCTGCTGCTACGTGGTGCGTTCATGTAGTCCAGCTGTGTGTCGCCTCTTTATCAGGAAACTGGCTGAAGCGTCCTCACCTGGAGCTCCTCGTTCATTTTATCTATCTGGTTTATTCAGTTTACGCTCTGTGACGTCCACCGTAAACGATATTTGTCTTTTTTTATTATTATTTTTAGAATTTATTACTTTTTGTATTTTTTTTTTCAATTATCAAATATATAAATGTATTATTAAATATGTCATCATCAACATCATTATTAGTAGCAGTGGTATTTAATAAAATAATGAATTTGTCATCTTTGTAAATTTACAGTTTATTTATTTACCTATTTATTTGATTTATCCATTATTACTATAACTGCTGTTATTGTTGTTGTTAATAATAATGATGACAATAATAATAATAATAATAACAATAAATAATATGCCCATATTTCATTTAATTTAATTTATACTGTATTTTGATTCCTTTTTTGGTTCCTCTATATGTCCTGGCTTTATATTTATTATTATTATTATTATTATTATTATTATTATTATTATTATTATTATTATTATTAATAATAATAATAATAATCATTATCATCATCATAATCATTTTTTGCACTTTTTAATGGTTTATTTTTCTTTTTTTTTCTTATTATTTAATTGTTTTTTCAGGACTTTGGTTATTTTATTTCCTACCTATTGGCGTATTATTTTATTTCATAAATCTCTTTACCAGGCTTAACTCTGTTTCCCTTCTATTCTGACTGGATCTTGTGTTTTTTGCACACTGGAGGTTCTGTTTAAGGCCCAGTTCACATGAAACCCGTTTCTGAGAATGTTTCTGCAAAAGCTTTCCAAAAAAACTCATAACATTCAGTGTTGTCAGTCTATATGTTCTGAACCGAGCAGCAATTTAACTGCATCTGATATCACATAAAACAATCAGAACTCCTACAGGAGGCTCAGCACCAGAACCATGTTTGGGTCAGATCATCTTCAGATCTGTAAGAACACACGGAGAAAATAAGGAAACGACGGTGAACCTCCCACGTGGTCACGTCAGGGCAGGAAATGGGCGAAATTCATGAAATGTAAAAATCAAGCGCATCTGAAACTCCGGTGGTTCTGATGTTCATGGTTCCTACATGAACATGATCCAGCAGCTCATCGATGACAAGAAACAGCTGCTTCGTCTGTCAGACTCTTCTCATGAGGGACTGGAGCAGAGGGCGTCTTTGAATTTATAGCGTTTTTAGAGCGTTGGAGGAAGACAAATAAAGACAAAAGTTAGTCCCAGATGACCCGTTTAAAGCTCCATGTGTGGTACTGTACGAGGTATCAGAGGCTGGTTTGCCAAAACTATGTCTTTACAGTTTGGGTGAAGGAGCACCTGTGATGCTTTTCAGAGGAACCTGAGGTGGACCTGGGTCCTCTGGTTGATCTGATGTGGATTAAATGCCCAGAAGCTGCTCTAACAGCTTTGTGTTTGTGTCCACAGCACCTGTCCAGTAGACACAGCGTCCAGCAGAGCACCGCTCAGGTAAGCAGGCGGCTTTATAATCACACATCTGGGTTCTGATGTTCCAGTCAGAACCACAGGTTTCCCTCCAGAGAGGCTCGACCTCGTGTGAACCTCTAAAACGCTGCTTCCACCGTTAATGTGCTTTTTGCTGCTCCGGCTCCACTTTAAGTGCAGAAAGACGCGTATTTAAATATTTCCTGCTTAAAAACTGGGTCGAGCAGCACAAATAGAATCCCTGAAAAGGTTCGACATCCATAATTTATGCGATCAATAAACTTTTCAGCGCCTTTTAGGGCCCAGAAACAGATGGAAATATTAATTAAAGGGATTTAAACTGCGGTGTTTAGAAGCCGACTCGGCGCTTTCACGCTCTGTGAAAAATAAAACATGATCTTTTTGATGAAGCATAACTCTTGTGCTGATTTAAACTGCGGGTGGATCGGCACCAGAACACTTTATTCTGTTAGCTTCAAGTAAAAACACGAGCTCTGCTGTTAAAGTTTCTCTCAGAGACGTGTTCAAGACGAACGTTATTTATGTTCAGTTCATTATGTTGGAGCTCGTCAGGAGATCACGTCCCTTCATGGAGCATTTCTTCTGTTTAATGAGGGAAAAGAAAACAGATATTGTGAGTTTTGATTTCTTATTTAACTTCTGTGCAGCGCCGAGGTGGCCTTATGGAGTAAAAGATGAATAAACCAACCAAAATATGAGGACGTGATAAATTAGTAAATAACAGCAGTATATTATACATGCAGTTAATTCAGTCTGTTTGAGTGAAAATAATAAGAAAACATGTCTGAAAATATTAATTATAATGTTATTAAAATGTCAACATATCAATAAGATTTCAGTAAATGGTATTAAATGTCCAAAAATATATTAAGATAAAATAATAACAAGTTAAAAAAATATTATTAAATGCCCGATAATATTAATAAAATGTCCAGAAACAATAAGAAAGTGTCTGAAGATATTAATAAAATGTGAAGAATATATATTTAATATAGACAACAGCTTTAATATGTCGTGGCAAACAATATCTCCAAAACAAAATTATAAAATGATAGAAAATTTTTTAATAAGTCTGAAAAATATGACCAAAAAAATCTGTGAATTTCACAAAAATCTTTGAAAATATTACTGAAATGTCCAGAAATATTTTTTTTAAAAAGGGTCTGAAAATATTAATAAAATGTGCAAAAATATTTATTTAAAACATTTATTTTGTCATAAAATATAAATGCAATTTCAGAAAATATTGACAAATATATCAAATTAAAGATGTCGACAAACAATATCTCCACAAAATTATTACAAAATTATAGAAAATGTTGAAATAAGTCAGAAAAAATATGAACAAAAAGTCTGTGACTTTCACTGAACTGTCTTTTTTAATAACAGTTGAAGTGTGTCTCTGTGAAGCTGCTAACAGGATGTGATATAAAACCATGACCTGCAGGGCGACAGTAACCGGCAGCGGCACGGCGAGCCCTGCAGGGTTCCAGTTCCTCACCACCTGCTGGTCAACCTGAAGAGCTTCACCTACAACAGCATCGGAGAGGACACCGACATCTTCTTCTCTCTGTACGACCTGCGGGAGGCCAAGACCATCAGGTAGGACGACACGACTCGGACCAAACTGCTGCTGCTTCGGTTCGGCTGTCTGAGAGAAGACGAGTCCACAGTCAGGGTTTGTTCAGAACCACAGTGAGACGGTGCCGCAGCTGCTCTCCATGTCAGGATTGTTCAGAACCGGGTTCATGTGTGTCGGTGCTGCAGCTCAAACATGACAATTCATTCATGCAAATACTCTTAAGTTTGTGCTCCTAGTTTCCCCATAGCCTCCTGTTCCTCTATATTCTATATATAGATAATAAAGTCGTCCTCACACGTCTTCATCTCCGTCCATTAAAGAAAAGGCAAAACTCACAACAGTCACTCAGATA